GAAAGCAAACTGGCAGTTCCAATACTAATAGCAAACCAATGATGTAAAATGTGCATTCAAGTTCACAATAGAAATGTCTATAATTTATGAAGTGTATCACAACAGTCATTTACAGTTATGGTTATTTGCCTCCTAATTTGTTCTCTAAAAGACTCATTATTCCGTAGGAATACTATTCCAGATTTTACAGAATCATTAGTTAATATATTCAAAATAATTACAAAGGTGCTGTTTTACAAGGGTTTTTGTTTTAAAAAAATGGAATGAAATCATAAATATTTTGATATATTCTGTGGATATCCTCCTGAAAGTCACCAGACAATTCCCTAAACTGTATTATAATGGTCTACCATTCAGATACAAGCATTATTTAAATATGTGATCTTTGAAACAGTAGTTAGAGGTGTTGCATACACATTTCAAAATAAGCATGTCAATAATAGCTGTCTAATAAAACATTGTGTAATAACTGTAAAAGGGATTATGCTCCTTGTCATGGGATTTCACAGTCTTTTCAAAAGATGCTATTCAGATCACTTCTGTTGTCAAAGTTACAAATCCCCCCCCCCCCACAGGTTATTGTGAACTCTACCTGTAATTGATTATCTTTGAGTGGTCATCTGTGCATTCACACCTGTGGGAAAGGGTGCCTGCTCCTGACCCCATTGGTAACTTTAACAAACCCTTAATCTATTTGTTTATTTATATTTCAATTTCTATACCGCTCATGACCCCTACTGGGTCTCAGAGTGGTTTACAATGAACTACTTTATGTAGTTGGTTACCTAGCTAGGGCCACAATTACACGGGGAGGGGATTACCTAACAGCACCCATGCGGCGTATTTCCTTCTCTCTGGCGGGCCTCAGACGTTGTTTTTCTGACGATCTGGATGACTGGCGACCATCTCAGGGCAGGCTCTGATGACTTTCCTCCTCCGGCGCGCAACTGCTTTGGGGCGCAGCTTCCGGCTATGCGGCCCATCCAGCCGCGCTGCGTCCCTTCGTTGCTGCGTCACCCCGGCTCCGCCTCCATTCGATCTGGTCACCACCTTTCCTGGATTGCTTAGTTGCTCTGCCGCAGCCATTACTCTCGCCGTTGCTCCGCTTGCCGCCGCCGCCACCATCAACCGCACTCCTGGCACGGAACCAGGAGGAGGGTGCCCCCTGCCACCTAGGGCAGGAACCCATTTGTCTACTTGTTTTACTTTCGAGCCGCTGGGTTGGCAGGAGCTGGGACTGGGGCCGGGGGCTCAACCCGGCCGCGGTGGGGATTCGAACAGCCATTGTGGCTGTTCGCTATTGATGTTAACTGCAGGCGTTGTACTACCTGCGCCACCGCTCCCTAATCCTTCTTTTCTGCGCTGCACCCCTGAGGCACATGTGGGGTTCCACCGCACATGCCCACAAGGGCAGAGCTCGTGTGGTGCTGCTCCTTGGGGTGTGGGGGTGCAGGCGATGCAAAGACGACATGAGACAAACAGCTTCTGCAGAAAGCTGACTGAATGAATGAAGGAAGCTCCAAATGAATGAATCCCCCCCTCTCACTCACCAGCTGTTTTTATTCAAAATCCATCTCCTCCTTCCCCTCCTATCTTTCATACATTACATCATCCTATTCATGAGACATGAACTAAGGAATGTAGGCAAGTTCTCTTATCAGTTGCTCCCTCTCTTCAAGGTTACACTGACTGCTTCAGCGAGCAGTAAACAGATTCCATCTCGGCCTCTCATGACGTATAAGGATTCCAGTTCCCAATTTCCAGCCAGGAGAACAGTGATTTATTCTGCACTGCTTTCCCACAAGCTCGGGTCTCCCGCCAGTTCCTTTTGACCATTGAAACACCCAAGTAACACAATGAGTAGGCTGACAGTGGAGGGGAAGGCTGAGTGGGTGGTGTGAATTCTCAGATGACCACTTGAAGATAATCAGTTACAGGTAAGCAACCTGTTTACTTTCTTCGTGGTCTCTGTGCATCACACCTGTGGGAGAGTAGCAAGTTTTTTGACTTACTGGAGGAGGGTGCTGGCAGCTACTCAGTCCAGTACCAATAGAAGAACCAGCCGATCCACCAGAGCCCCTTGACGTGCATGGACATCCAGAGTGTAGTGCTGAATGAAAGTGTTTGGAGTCATCCACGTAGCTGCTCTGCAGATTTCCTGTAAGGGGACCCCTCTAAGAAATGCTATAGAGGTGGCCATAGCCCTCATGAAACGTCCCTAATGGGCCCCAGTAGGGGTTGTTTTGCAACCAAGAAGCACAGTTTTATGGTCTCCGCAATCCATTTTGATAGGTGTTAAGCCGAAATACAGTGCCCCCTGTTCTGTGGAGCATAGGAGACAAAGAAATAAAGATCTTTGCAGTCCAGTCTGGTCCTTTGCAGGTAGAATAGGTGAGTGCATTTCACATCCAGGGAGTGAAGGAGTCTCTCCACAGCAGGATTGGGGAAGAAATCCGGGAGAAGGATGTCAGACTGGAGATGAAACTCTGAGTCCACTTTCGGTAGAAAGTGGATGTCTGGGCTCAGAGTGACACCATTACTGGAGAATTGGAGGTTAGGTGGATCATGTTGGAGGGCTGTAAGTTCCCCCACCCTCTGGGTTGACATGACAGCCATGATGAAGGCAGTTTTCCAGGTAAGCAGCTGGATCTTACATGAAGCTAAAGGCTCAAAGGGTTTGCCCATCAGTTTCCACAGTACCAGGAGAAGGTCCCAAGCTGGAACAGGCAACTTAAGTGGGGGATGCATGTGTAGCAGACCCCGAAGGAAACGTTTAGTGTGTGGGTGAGTGAACACAGAAAGGCCATACACTGGTCGATGGTATGCTGAAATGGTGGCCAAGTAAACCTGCACAGAGGAGTAAGTCAGTCCAGAGTCCACCAGAGAGAGTAGAAAATAGAGTCCATGCTCCTACCCACTACACCAAACTGGCAAAGGGAAGGACTACAGTCAATGCTGCCATCATGCCCAGCAGTTGTTGTATGGACAGAGCTGCCATGCCTGGGTGTGATTGGACACAACCGACCAGAGAGATGATGGCCAATGCTGTCTCATCTGGGAAGAAGGCTCTGCATGCAGTGGAATCGAGGACTGCCATGATGAACTGGACTCTTTTTGTGGGTGTGAGGTGAGATTTCTTGTGTGTCACTTTAAGACGAAGAGTGTCTATCAAGATGAGGGTTCGATGAATGTCCCTTTCCAGGTTTTCTTCTGAATCTGCTACCAGAAGCCAGTTGTCTCTGTATGGGAAGACTGCTGTACCTCGGGAGACACAAATAGGCCACTACCACTACCATAGTCTTTGTGAAGACCTGTGGCGCTGTGGAGATCCCAAAGGAAAGCACCTTATACTGATACTGGTCGTTCCCTATCGCAAACCTCAGGAACCGTCTATGATGGGACCAAATATTTAGATGACAATAAGTATCCTGGAGGTCCAGCATGGCCATCCAAGCCCCTTTGTTGAGGAGTGGGAGGATGTTCTGTAGGGGAATCATTCTTAATTTACAGTAGGCAATAAAATTGTTTAGAGCCCTCAGGTCCATGATGGAGTGCAGGCCACCATCCCTCTTGGCGACTGTAAAGTACCAGGAGTAGAAATCAAGGCCTCTGGAGGTATGAGGGATGAATCTGATGGCATCTTTCACCAAAAGGGTTTGGACCTCTTCCCATAAGATCATAAAAGTAGAGGTGGTGACAAAAACTGGAGCAGGAGGAGTCTGAAGGAACTCTATTGCATAACCATTGAGAATGATAGAGAGCAACAATTTGTTTGATGTAATCCACCTCCAGGCCTGGAGAAATTGGGAGAGGTGTGTTCCAGTGGGGCAGTAAAGGAGCAGCGTAGATGGAGGTAATGGGGGAGTTGAAGTCCCTATTCAGAAGTCTGAGGACCTTGAGATCTTGGTGTTTGTTGGCTGGGCTTGAACTTGGGCTTCATGTACAAACATCTGTTGCCAGACTGAGATTTGCTTGGTCCGCTAGGATTGGTCTGGGGAGGTTTTGGAGTACTGTCATTTAGACCAGGGATGTGACCATGATCTGTTTTTGGATGAGTGGGAGGGACCCATAACTCCCGGGTTGCAAGAAGTCTTCATATTTTTGTCAATTTCTTGTAGGACGGTATCTGTGATGGAATGAAAAAGGCCTTGGCTGTCAAAGGGCAAGTCTTCTATGTAGGAATGTGTGTCCTGTTGGAGTGATGTGGAATGAAGCCATGAGTGCCTGCAGACCTATGGTGGAAGTAATGGTTTTGGTGAAGATGTCAACAGTGTGCTTGGAAGAATTCATCAGGGAGATTGAGAGCTGCTCCCAAAGAGAGTACTGATGTCTGCTCATGCAGGCCATGTAGTTTGTGTTCTTGACCCCCAATGCTCCAGCAGAATAAAATTTCCTGCCAAAAGCATCAAGTTTCCTGCCTTCTTTATCGACAGGGGCCAAGTGGGTATGCTTGCTCTTGGAAGCAGAGGTCACCACCACAGAGTTGGGTTTAGGATGACAAGATTAAAATTTAACACCAGTGTCCTGGACTCTGTACATGTGATCCAGATGTCTGGAGGAGATTGGTGTAGAGGAGGGTTTGTCCCAGGGTGACTTGGCTGCTTGTAGGATGACATTAGTCACTGGTAGAGAGATGGCCATGGATTTGTCAAGCTGTACTATGTCAAAGATAGAGTCTGTGACATTTTGTTTGGGTTGGATGATGGAGAGGCCCAAGTGTGGCCCATGGACTTGACTAATTCCCCATAAGATTTGAGGTCCTCAGATGGGGAAATGGGAAGGTTATCCTGTACTTGGCTAGGAGGAGATTCTGCTGGTGAAGAATGGACCTCGGAGTCCTCTCTATCAGAACCATTCTCTGAAGAAATCTTGGATGCTGCTGAATCAGAGTTCGAGAAATCTTGTACCAAGGTCTTATCTCCTTGTAGAGGGGTGCCAAAGGTGAAATGGACTTCGGTGGCATAAGTGGCACAGAGACCGTATGTGGTGCCTTGTGCACCTTAGGTGAGAATATACGATCTTCCGATGCTGACCACTTCAGGGTCGATGAAGGAAGTATCAAAGGGGATCGATACTGATGGGAATAAAGAGATCATTGATCCCAGTCTTTGGGACAGAGAGGCAGCCATGACGTTGCTGAGGGTAGTGGGTAGACACCATATAGGTACTGCATTTGTTAGTGACCCCAGGGGACTACAGCAGGCATCTGTTGGACCTGGAAAGTTGGTGACATGGGTCAATGGCGAAAAGGTGATTGATTCCGGGAGCACTGGTTGCCCCGTCGGTCCATCGGGCATCAATCCCAATGATCCTTGGTACTGACAGGTTGGATGTGGGCACTGCTCACGCCAGGGGAGTCCCTAGACAAGGAACAGTGTGACAATCTCTGAGTCAAGTCAATCTCATCCGCCTTTGATGCTGAGAAGAGTATAGGCAGTGGCTGCATCAAGGAATCGATGTGCACTGGTGAGACCAACCAATGGATGGGGGAGTCCATGAAGCAGAAAGGCGACACCTCTGTAGCAAGCTTCAGTGCTGGTGACAATCACCCAATCGGGGCATCTAGCAACAGAGTAGAAGAGTCACGTTGGGCACTCTTAGGCCATGCCTTTGGTCCTGACTTTGACTTAGGAGCATGGCCGGCCCCAGCTTATTTTGCACCCTAGGCGAGGATCCCTTCTGGCACCCCCTGTGCGCCCCCTCCCCCTGTGCAACCATCCCCCGTGCGCCCCCCCCGCAATGGCAGTAGCTCAGAAAGTAGTGTTTTTGCTCACAGGACTTCACAGCTTAGAGGGAACATTGCACAGGAGTGTAACCATTTATCCAGGCAAGTTTGTTAAAAACATTTTGTGCAGCGCAGGTGAGACCAGCTGTTCCCTGACACACACACTCTAGCAAGATGACTCCCGGCCTGCGCACACACTTTCGCGCGCACACCCGAAATCCCCCCTCCCTCACCAAGTGTCATCCCTTTGGATGGATGCTTCGGTGCCCCCCCCCCGAGCCTGGTGTTGCAAGGGGAGATTTTGTGGCGGGAGGAGGCCAAAGGAGGGACACTTTCTGAAGCATCGCCGCCCACCTGCACCAGGCGAAGACGGGCCTCTCCACCTTCCTGGGACCTGGAAGCCCCAGACGGTCCAGCCAGGCTGGGCCAACAGAAAACGTCAGGCCCGTCTCTTCCCAGCCCTGTGGCCAGCTCTGTCTGGGTGGGGAGCGCCTCCCAGGGGGGACATCTTGGCGGGGTGCCAAACTTCCCTGGAGATGGCCGGCGGGTGCTTTGGCCGGGTTCTTTTGCAGAAGGGGGAACCTGCACTGGAAGGCAAAAGCCTCAAATTGCAAACAGCTTGTTCGGCCAGGATTTAATTCACCACTCCCTCCCCCCATTTCTCTTTCATGTCCGCGGGCCCGCTCCCCCGCCCCTCCCATTCAAGGAGGCCCTTCTCACGGGGGGGGCGCCATTCCAGATCTCAGGGAGAGGAGAAATGGGGGGGGTTGGCACAGAGGATGCTACGCTCACAGTCAGCGCTTCTGGGCACACTTGCCGGACTCAGGGAGGAAGAGGCGATGGTGACGGCGGTGGTCACCCAGTCAGGGCTTTTGGCGGGGGAGCCAGGTGCAGTTTGGTGCCCTAAGGGCCGGCCCGCCCTAGGCGAACGCCTAGTGAGTGAGCCGGCCCTGCTTAGGAGCTTTGCCTCCATTGTTGCTTTTACCACCCCTGCATTTCTTTCCAGGTATTGAGGGGTTTGATCTCAATGCAGAGCCTGAGTGCTTCGAAGTTGAATGGTTGGTGCCCATTTGTCCTGAGGCCAGGATGGTATTCGAGTGGGTCATCGTCGAGGATCCCAGTGTCAACTTGGGTTGATCTTAGTGTGTAGGAGTGGCCATTGGTGGAGGTGAAAGAGCTAACTCAATCAGTGCCACTCAACGTCTCACAGCCTGGGTTTTATGGGTCTGTCAGGAGAACTTGGCACAGTGGATGCACAAGTCGGTATCGTGGCCTTCCCCCAGGCAAAGGAGGCACACATAGTGTTCATCTGCGAGGGCAAGTTTACTCCCATGCTTTTTACAGCATTTGAATAAACCCCAAATTTTGACACAATATCTTATCTTGCGCCTTTCTGAAGTGAGTGAAGAGATTTTTAACCAATTATTTGTTGTTGTTTTTAAAAGGATGGTGAATGTACAAGCTACAGGAGGAAAAGGAGAAAAAGGAGAAAACATAATAAAAAATAATTAAAAAATTTTTTTAAAATCAAAGGGTGTAAAAATCAGGCAAACATCAGGGCATGGGGGTGGACTTTGTGAATTACAGCAGTGTTCAACACAGTTGATCATGACCAGCTGACTCACCACCTTGCTAATGCTGGAATTCATGGGGCAGCCTAGCAATGGCTCACGTCATTTCTCCATGGTCGGGGGCAGAGGGTGGTGCTGGGAGGGACAGTGTCCTCAAAGTACCCTCTGGAATGTGGGGTTCCTCAAGGGGCACTTCTCTCCCTGATGTTGTTCGACATCTATATGCGCCCTCTCGCCCAGCTAGTATGGAGTTTCCGGCTGGGATGCCATCAATGTGCTGGTGATACCCAGCTATTTATGTTGATGGGTAACCAGCCAGATACCGTTCCCGGGAATTTAGCTGATGGTTTGGATGCTGTGGTGAGATGATTAAAGCAGAGTTGACTGAAACTGAATCCAGGTAAGACAGAGGTTCTGTGGCTGGGTGGGGGTGGAGCCTCAATTGGGTTGCCAGCTCCCTAGTCTTGAGGGTGTGCCTCTGTCACCAGCACAGACCATCAGGAGCCTGGGTGTGACCCTGTCCATGGAAGCTCAGGTTACGAAGGTTGCCAACCTGGTGTTTCTCCAACTTCCCCAGGTCAGGCAGCTGGTTCCCTACCTGTCTCACCCCAATTTAGCCACAGTAATCCATGCAACAGTTACCTCCAAGCTGGACTACTGTAATTCGCTCTATGCGGGCCTGACCGGGAAGCTCCAACTGGTCCAAAACGCAGCCACGCAAGTCCTTACTGGGACCCCTCAGACGGCACACATTCAACCAGTGCTGCGTGAGCTCATTGGCTTCTAGTGGAGCACCGGATCAGGTTCAAGGTTCTGTTTTTGACCTTTAAGGCCGTTAGCAGTCAGGGACCTATGTACCTTCTGGACTGCCTCTCCCAGTTTGTCCCTGGAAGAGTGTTATGCTCAGGGAATAAGAACTTTCTGGTGGTACCCAGCCCTGGCCCGTGCCTGGTGGAACGCTTTGCCGGAAGATATCTGTGCCTGCGAGAGTTGTTACCTTTCCACAGAGCATGCAAGGTGAGAGGTTCCACCCGTCCTTCAGTTGAGGACAGCAACAGGGCATCCTTTGGCACTCTCATATAATTCCCCATCCCCCGTAACCCCTCCCCCCACAGAGGCCGGGGTGTTGGAATTCTTTCTGCCATCCTATATATTGTATGTATGCTGGGGTTTTTAAAATCTATTGGTATTTATTGGTTTGTTTTAACTTAGTTTGAAACTGACAGCTGTATATTATTATGTTGTAAGCCACCCTGAGCCCTACTCATAGGGAAGGGTGGCCTAGTAAATCCAATTTAACAAATAAAAATAATAAATAATAAATTTCCCCACACAAAGATATACAAAATAGTGTACAGCTCCCCAGAAAAAAATATTACCATTTGTTCTATACGTGTTTACGGAGAAGTCCCACTGAATTCAGTAAGACCATGTGCAGTGGGTTGCAGCCCCAGTACACTGGGTTTGCAGAGCATTCCCCACTGTGCTATGTAACTATGAATAATGCTTGACATACAGTCACAATGATAGTGGGACAGGGTAGTGGGGACTATCATTCGTGTGTTAAAAGGTAAAAAGATGTTTTAAACAGACTTGGCAAAACCAAGCAGAGATTAAATCCTCTCTCTTCACCTGCCCCCCCAGTTTGAACTGGGGCTGCATGTACAATTTGCATTTATAGACTGATGGAGACCTGTAATTTTCATTTTGTCTGTCTGTGCTCTGACTTGTGGGAAACTTAGCTTGGGGCCTTCTTCTGCCTGTAAGCAAAGAATGTAGAACATTCATTCTCTAATACTAGCTTACAGTATATGTAAACAGCTGCTCACCAAATGTCAGCCTGTTACTTAAACTATTTATGCTGCAGAGGTTCCTCCCATACTATCCAGTCCACTAGTTAAGATCTGCCTTTCAAGACCGGCTCTCTGTGCCCCACATTCAAAAGTGAGGTGGGTGGCAACTAGAAACAGGGCATTTTCTGTGGTGGCACCTTGCCTTTGGAATGCCCTCCCCCTTTGAGGCTCATCTGGTGCCTATTTCACTTTCTTTTAGGTGCCCAGCTAAAACACATCTTCTAACCAGGTTTTTAATTAGAGGTTTTATCTTAGCTTTTTAATGGTCTGCTGTTTTATGGGTTTTATGGATAGTTTTTTAATACTATGTTTCTTAATTATAAGCCACCTCAAGCAGGACTCTGAAGAGGCAGCATAGAAATATTATAAATAAATAAAATTATTGATCACAAGCAATATCAGGGGTACTCTTTTGTTAATGCATCTGTAGTCTACATAGCATTCACAGTTAGAGCAGCAAGGGTGACTGTGTGAAAAATACGGCTGCTCTAATAACAAACCATTATTTTTTGAGAGCAGAAAAATATTGTTTGTCCACAACAGGCATACCAGCTATAAGAATGACATTTGTTCTCCTGTAGCTGCTATGTATTTATTGGACAATCCAATGATCTTCTTGACAGGCCCTTGGTATTTTGTCAAAGTAACTCTAGAACTGTGGAGGCTGGGGAAGCAAACCTAGAGATTTTTTAAATCAGAAATGAACTTAGATCAATCAAGGAAAGAAGGCTGAAACTTTAATTTTGTGACAAACTGATTTACAGTGGAGCACTCAGCAGAAAAATTGTACAGCAAAGATCCATCCATTTTATTTTGTATTAAATGTCCTTCAGCAGCCCATACAGCTAACTGTAAACAGAAACTACATGAAATGTTTTGCTGTCAGTAACACGTGCATATGAAAGATTAAAAATGTAGTTTAGTTTCAGAAATATATTTTTTAAAATGTTCAGAGGAGCATGTAACACTGATTCTGACTATGCAGATGCACCAGGCAACACAATGATTCAGCTCTACATATAAAGGTGGGGAGGGAATCAAAGTGACTTTGTTATCCAGCTTGTGACACTTTATTTAAATTTCAGACAATACCTTTAAAAAAAAAAAAATCCAGCATAAATATGTAGCTAAACAGCTTCAAAAGTCAGGTTATGCAGACACAAAAAATGTTATTAATCAAAAGCGAGCTCTAGTTCAAGAAATTTCAGGACTTCAAAATCAGCAGGGTACAAAGCTAAAATTCATATGCTCCTTTTCCAGTTATGAACACTTTTGCTAAACATAGATATTTCAACATATATTAATATATTTTTCTGACATTCAAAGTTGTAGAGTCAATATGGCAGAATTGTTGTTAAAAGCATATATGTACAAATATTCTTCCCCCATCCCGAGCCCCTCCCCCTCACATAGAGTATTTGGCATAATTATAACAATCTTACTGCATACAACAACTGTTTGCTTCTTTTTTCACATAGTTGTACTTCTTATTAAAATTATCCAGTTATGTACAAAAATACTTGAACATTTATAATAGAAAACCTCTATAGCTACCATTAACAGCATAGACCTGCTGAAGGTTTCATTGAGGGCATATAAAAAGTGGTCACTACGTTCCAGTTAACCTATCAACAAAGTGAACTGTTAAATCAACACGAGCTTCCCAACAAAACAGGGAGATAGCTTTTTTTAACGGTATGATTGAAAAATACGGATCATACTTCAGTTGTCAAACAAATGTTACAAATTGTACATAAACAAAAGACAGAGATAGAAAAAATTCCTGTACAAGGTGTTTGTGTTAGTCTGGTCCTATAACTGGGCATGAGCTTTCAAAAGCTCTACAAGAGCTCTTTAGTGAATGCCACTTAGAACATCATCCGGCAATACTAAGGGCACTTTCACACAGAGCGTAGCTTATGAACAGGGGCTAAGATTCAAAAAAGCTCATTCGCTGTGAACAAATGTTTCTCTTTGTGCATTCAGAGTTCTATATTTTCTTTAGATTGCAATTCCTCATGCTCCTCAGGTTTCCCCCAGTTTTGAGGATGGAATGTCCGGCAGAAGGGGGAACAGAGGCTGTTCTTGAAAGGGGAACCTCAAACCCTAATGCAGAGGTTACCTCCCAGTTCTTTCCTTTCGGGAGAAATAAGAGCTGTTTTAGAACCTAAATCCTACAATTTCCAGAACTTTATCCTTTATCCCATCTTTTATCCCATGCTATTCTGAAGTCATGTGTCACCATGTAAACTTGGGTAGATCTTCTCTGCATTCATACATCGATAAACTATGGTTTATTTAAACGACAGTTGGTTGCAGGAAGTCTGGTTAGTATACTAGAAAACATCACAAATCAGTTTGTGCATGTCCAATTTTGCTTGATTCCTTTCTCACTTCCAAGCAGAGTTCCCAATGACTGTTTCGTTGGCTGGTTCTTGGCACTGCCTCACTAAGTGTACAGCCATTGCTATTGGTTGGCTTCAATAAATAGTGAGGGAAAGGAAGTCTATAGCAAGTGAATCCCCCTTCGCTCACTGCTAGGGATCTTTCAGTCATCCTCCTCTCCCTGTTCCTGACCCACTGCTTCACTGCACTCCCTAGACTTCCTATTACTCTGAAAGAAAAAAGATCTTCGGCAACCCTCTCTTTTACAGCATTCCTTTTGTGCCATTTCACCAAATTCCTTAACCTTATTTTTGCCCTGATTTTTTTTTTAAAAAAAAAGTCTGGTGAAAAGCACATGATCATGGCTGAATCCGTCACTTGCTTCCTTTATCTTGAGATATACAAGGGAATAAGGAGGAAGGTATGACAGTAGGTGGGAAGTAAAACTGCTTTTAACTGTAACGATGTTTTCTGTGCAGCAATTTCTACTGAGTAGGCTGGCAAACTGAATAAGAACATATGATTGAGTGTAACCTTTCAAGATGATGCCTTCTAAATTTCCCTTTGCAAGAGGCTGATACGACAATTTGGTGAGTCATTACTAGTGGGGGGGCATGGATAGAAGGCCAAGGAAGGGAAGGAATGAAGGCCTGAGGAAGCACCATTGGTAGATGAAGCAGCTAGGTTTTTCAGGTGTTCTGTATATCCATCTCATTATACAGGAGGCTAGGTGGGGGAAGGGCTACTAAACAAACTGTGATTTCTGCATTCTGCACAGATGAGAGTTCGTACAAGTAAAAAACAAACTGCGTTCCCAGTTTATCTCTCATGCCCCACAGTCTGAAGAAGTGAGCAGTGACTCACGAAAGCTCACACCCTGCCACAAATTTTGTTAGTCTTTAAGGTGCTCCTGGACTCTTGCTCTTTTCTACCGCCTCACAGTCTATGCAGCCTGCTGTTGCAGTGGAGGCTGCCCTGTGTCAATTATGAATGGTCATATATGCATTATTTGTTGTTTATTCTTCTGCAATACTTGGAAGGGATGATTGGGAAAACATGGAGCCCTGCTTCCATGTATCTTAACAAAAGCTGCAAAAAAAGAACCACAATCATCTTTTCACAACTAAGGGGACTTATGATGATTTTGGACTCCGTCTCTCTACCCAAGTACAAATAGCTAACATGAGACCATCGTGTTATACCATCAGACATCTAAATGAATCACTGATTCCACATAGCCAGCTGTTGGCATCCAAGGGTGGGAGACATTCAGGAACAGGTACCTGCCCTTTCCCAGATACTTCCTGCGCTTCCCACCATGTCCCACAATGCACAACATGGAGGCTAAAAAGCTTCCAAAATACACTGGATGGCTGAGTAGATAACAAAAAAGTCATTACAAAGAGTGAACCCAGAAGTACTATTCACAAGTTTGCTGTTTTAAGCAGAACTCTAGAATTAATGCCCTCTATAGGTATTTCTTCTTATCATGTATATGGACATAGTGATTTCCATTTTTTCCCCCAGTTGTTCACTTTAGTGACCGTTTCTTGGGTCACTATTAAAATTACCCAATCAATCTAGTCACAAGAAAACTTGAAAATCAACTTTCTCTTCATAGACCAACATGTTTTTAAGGTGAAGATTCAGATTGTTCAGTAGAAATTCTACAACCAACTCTTGGGAATTATTTTCCTTTATCAGCTATAGGGAGTTATGAAGTAAATTGCACCTCAATTTTAAAAAACTGGGGGGAAAGTATAGATTATGTAGACAAACCACTACCAAAGTGCTGAACAATTTATCCTTTTTACAAATATTTGAAAATGTATATACATATATATAATAAAATGCAGAATTGTGTCAGTAGAAAGAATGCGACCTAAAATAATTATTTGTTTCATGAGCTCAGCTGCAACAACCTCCTTGAAATTTTACAACATTGTGTAATCACTAATGTTCATGTACAGGTTGAAAATGGGGAGGGAGCCATCTTCAAAATGCTTGGAAAAGTGTAGAAATTAAACTTCCTTGTTACAAGAACATGCCTTTGTCTTATACATATCACTTACAGTGCAATCCTAGCAACACTTTCTCAGGAATAAGACCACTGAGTAGACTTGGGTAGGATCCTGAGTAGATCTGCTTAGGATAGCACTGTTTATTATCCTGCATGCTCTAAAAAGTACATTATTATAAAAACAGAAGTATGTGGAAGAGGAGTACAGATTTGATTAAACTATTTTTGCAAAAAACTGTGAGATTCAGATTGGTACACAGCTACATTTGCTGTATCTAAAATTAATGAAACTCAGTCCCGTTCCCCACAGTGACTGGTAAGCTAGGTTAGTATTTTCATCTGACAAAATGTGCAACATAATATTAACCAATTTTTTAAAATCCTTGCAAATAATATTTGTGAAAATTATTAAAGTGCCTGTGTTAGGTGTGTTTTACCACTTAAGTCATTGCAAATGACTTTTTTTTCTCTTTTATAACTGAGACACTTTTCGTGGTAGAGGCCTAGGCCGAGGGACTTGTTCAGTTCTCTTGCTACTATTTTCCAGATTGTTTGGTCGGACCAACAGGGGTTTGGGTGGCAGTGCTGGAGGATCCGAAGGAATAGGGATGGAAAGACTTTGAGGTAGCGGGACAGGACGCCTCAGTGTCCGTTCATAAACACT